CCGGGAGATAGCATGGGAAGAAGAATATCCTAACAATACCGGGGGGGTAGGGCGGTGGGTGGGGGGGGTGATATTGGGTGGGGAGAAATGAAGGTGACCTGGAAGAAGGGTGGCCTCATGCGACTATGGTTGCTACTTGTCCTGTTTTTTTCCGGGATCGTCAACTTTTTTTTGCGGTAAGTGTCCTGCCAAATATGTACGTCTTCAGGGGAACATGAAATGCCCCAGTGTTGTGTAAATAATACACCACTCGCACTCGACATGGTGCATTTGTGTGTGTGTGTAGTTCTCTCCCTCTTCTGGTATTGTGTATTTTTTTATACCTTTGAGGTGGAAACCCTACATGGGACATAAGTGTCGGCGTGAGGGCTGGGAGGAAGGGCGGTGAGGCATTGCAAACTCGTTTGGGTGTTGTTTCCTTGCACAAGGAGCTGTCAGTGGACACCAGTGGACTCTGTTCGTGGGTGTGGGAGGATTTGGGGCTGGGTGTGCCACTGTGGCTGAGATAACAACGGGGAGCGGTAAGTGTAGCGCGCTGCGCTAGGAACCGATACCCCCTGGGTGGCGATTATCTGAACCGGTCATGGGCCTCCCCACGGTTGACTCAGATGCAAACAAGTACCTGGTGCGGTGTGTAAACATCGCCATCCATCTCCTAGTATACCGTGCCGGACTTCACAGGTGCTCGCTAACAGCACTTGCCTCAACAGCATGTTAAGGCTACACGGGGCAATTTTGTTGTTCTTTGGTTCTTTCGGTAAAGTCACGTAGAATGAGAATAAAATAATAAATTGATAAAATAACACAATAAAATTCTCACGACGTTTCGGCCACAACACAAGCGGCCTTCATCAGGTGAAGGGACGAGACTGTCTGGAGGACAGCGCTGGAGCTCCGGACAGTCTCGTTCCTTCACCTGATGAAGGCCACTTGTGTTGTGGCCGAAACGTCGTTATTCTCATTCTACGTGACTTTACCGAAAGAACCAAAGAATATGAATCCTTGCAGTCACGAAAGCTTTAAATCGAAATTTTGTTGTTGTTTGTGATAACGCCTCGCAAGCAGAGGCGGGCCGTCAGGGCCAGCAAGGCCTTCTCTGCTGGCCTAGAGATTCTCAGAATCAGAAAATTGTATTTTTAATAATTTAAAATACACTTTCAATAATGCTATATGTATTTTACAAAGTTGGTTCCCACCAGTCTACTAACGTCATTTCACTGCTACTCTCTCCCTCAGTTGCGCTGTTTCCAGAGCAGCTCATAAATGAGAGCTTTTATCAAATCGGATTTTCCACCTGTGCTGTCTCCGCCTCTCCGGGTGAAGAATCTTCCCTGATGCCTTCAGAATGTCGAGTGAATCCCCTCTGCTGTTGAAGGAAATGGGGACGATGTTGTCAATTGTCTCATTCTTTGCCATGTTGGAGGATTCTAGCTGGCCTCGCCGCCTCCGTTAGCATTCTTCATGTGGCGTGATCGGAGGGCAAGTTAGCTAACTGAAGTAAAACTAGCTAGCGTCATCTAAGATTTATTTAAACTTTCTTTCCTGTCGTTTAGATTTTTAGATGTAGTACTTTAGATTCTAGATTTGAAGCTTTCGTGACTGCAAGGATCCATGCTCTTTGGTTCTATTCGGTAAAGTCACGTAGAAACGTCGTGATTTTTAGTTGTTTTATTTTTTACCTACGTGACTTTACCGAATAGAACCAAAGAGTATAGTACTTTAGATGTTTTTTTTTTCTGTGGGGAAGCCTGTTGAATCCTGATTGTGTTATTTGTGTTTCACGGCATTTCTGCTTGCTTGGTGGTCGTACGAGTAAATGTGACTGGTTGTTGTGAGTTTGATTTTGTTTAATTGGTAATGACATTGATTTGGGCAATGCGATGTCTATTTGTGATGCAGAATCCTGTCATACTGTGTAATAGTGGTACATCCTTGATGGTTTCAGTCACTATTTATTCATGTCTCTGCAATTAGTGTATTGTAACTCTCACAGGTGTTGAGCCTCGTGTTAAATCACTTTATTCCACTCGATAAAGGTTACTGTCACTGCGAATGTGGGGTGGTTACGTCGAATGACAATAGCCGAGAGCCCTAGTGTCATGGTTGAGGTTATTCGAAGGCGGTTTAATTGCGGGCCTCGGTGTAACATGCACGGCCCGCCACTGCTCACAAGGTGCACCTAGCCTGGCGCGAGCACCGTAGTGGCGTCACCGCCACTTGGTGGAGCAAGGTCGGCGGTTGTTGTTGTTGTAGTGGAGTAGGAAGGTGTGCTGGGGAAACTGCGCGAGTGTATTGATCACACGGACAGTGTGGGGGTTATCTGGGGTCAGCCTGAGGAGACGGCGGAAACAGTGGGGTCGTGTGAGGACAGCCAGGTGAAGAGGCCGGGGTGATGAGGTAACGGTCGGGCCAATGAAGCCAGAAGGGCTGTGATTGGTCGGTGCTGTTGCTGGGGCCGAGGAGGCGTCGAGGTGTCTGGAAAAAGGTTCAGGTGGTTGAAGACGCGAGGCGTGCGGGAGGCACGCGGACCAATTAATTAGCGATAATGAGAATGGGGATACATTGGGGGGAGACAGGGAGATTGGAGTTGGGAGCTGTGCGGTGAAGACGTGGAGTTCGGAAACAGAGTTTAGAAGAGAGTTGGAGCATGGTGATAGCGAAGCCGAAGCAAGACGAAGCAGTTAGCAGTGGAGTGAGCGTAGTGATAGCGACGCTGAAGCAAGACGAAGCAGTTAGCAGTGGAGAGAGCGTAGTAATAGAGGAGCTGGAGACGAGGTGTGGCGGAGACAGAGAAGTGAGATTGGGTTTCGCTGCGTGCGACGACGCTGTATAGCGGAGGAGCTGAGGAGGACAGCCAGCAGTGGAGAGAGCGTAGGGATAGAGGAGTTGAAGACGTGTGTGTGTGTGTGGAGCAGAGCGACGTGACACTGTGAACCAAGGTGGTGAGCGAGACGGGCGAAGCAAGGCGAGCGAGCCGCGGTGTCCGGGACACGGTGGAGTGTGGAGGACGTGGTTAAACGATGAAAATAAAGAAGTGGATGAAGAAAGACAAAAGTTGTTCGTGTAAAGTTCAACCGCTACATTGAGATAACGCCAAAGTGGCGTTATCTCACCCGCCCGCCTCTAATCAGCGCGCGGCTCCCAGCACGTGTCTCGGTGTAAGAGCTCAAGCAGCTTGGCAGTGGCAAGGTTGGCGAGTTCAAATCCCGGTTATGGGGGGGGGTTCGTCTCCAGCCCATCATAACACCGGGGGGTCGATAAAATTGGCAAGTCAACGGTGGTTGTACTGCGGATAGACTCACCCCCCTCCCCCACCCCACGTGAATGTAGAAATTCCACCACTGGCTCAGCTGTAGACGGGAGACCGCAACAATATGCATTCGAGTAGGAAATCAGCTTGACCCACAGCACGTGGCGAGACACACGTTGGCCGAAGGGATTTCACAACGCCGTCAAGCAGCGTAGCACAGCAGGGGGTGGTGTATCAGCAGTTCCACTTCGGGCGTATGGCCGTTCAACCCCCTTTATGCATTTATTGATTTGATGTGAGAGCTGCCGTCGTTTTGTGTCTGGAAGAGGGGTATGGGGAAATAAAGCTATTCCAAATGTCCAAGAGGTGGGCAAGGAAATTCGTTCTAGGGACTGCCATCTACTGCCCAAGACAGGAAGTGATCCACATTGCTATCACCAAGTGAACGAATTGTTTGGTTATGCTGCTTTGGTGCTGATTGCTGCGTTGGCAAGCTATGCACACGCACAAATAACAAAACACTTCCACGCATTCGTCCATAACACTGCTTTAAAATGAAAAATATATTATAGACGACACTTCAGCCAATGGCCCTGCTTATAAAGCATAATTAATGTGCTATGAGGGAATCATTTATACCCTGTGAAAAATATCCATTGTCCATTAAATGTCACCTATTGTATGTTTTTTTTTCCCTTTTAAGTCAGCGTTATATGAATAAATGTACAGCGGCGACTCCTCTACGTACGAAAATTCGGCTTACGAACTTTCAGAGATACGAACAAACCTGTCTGTATGTCCAGTTGCCTGTTCGGACCAAGAGTCGTAAGTTTAACCGCCGCGCAATAGATGGCGGTAGTGACATCTACATCTGCAGAACGTGAAGAACCAGTGACATCTACATCTACAGGAGATTATACAACTTTTAAACCATCCCCGTGTTTAGTGTACATTCCGAACAACATGTTTGGAATCGACAGGAGTAATGTTGGACTTACGAACAAATCGACTTACGAACAGACATCTGGTACCTAACTCGTTTGTAAGTATCAGCCAATAACATGATGAGTCGAACTCCATTAGGTACCAATCACTCATCCTGGACATACATAGCAGTTACTGTCCATGCAGCAGTATCTGCAAATGCGTCTGAGGCACACTGATGGAAATATTTCAGACAGTTTGACGTGAATGAGTGGCAACACAAGCTGTCAATGGCAGTAGATATAATTGGCATCTAGACAAAAGGCCCATTTCAACATGACTTTGGTGAAATTCAACGGAATAAAAAATGTCACCCGCACCGATTATGCTCTTTGTGTGTTAGGAAGAAAAAATATATATCTGGGTGATCCGTGACAAGGTTTGCAAATATTCTCCACGCTCCAGTAACAAAGCCACCGCGATTGTCAGAGGATTGCATAGCGTTGGGTTCACGTAAACTTCGGAAGGCCACAGCTTTTGTGTAGAAAATGTTGCAAAACCTGTCGTGTATCGGCGCCCGGTTGGTTGAGAAAACAGATTGACTGTGTTCACGACATATCATGCTTTGCTTTTTGTTTAAATAGACATTGAAATATGCATAATCTCAATACCACATGATACTAAATTGTGATATTACTTTTAATATCTTGCAATGCTTTTTGTTCATGTATAAGATATAAAAAAACTTATTTACAAATTTAAATAGGGATGTACAATAGAAATTCAACATTAATCTCACAATAGCATTACACTGTATACAGCTAAATGAGTCGTGTACTTATTTATTTTAGTTTTTGATACCAATGCTTGCGGTTACCTTGTTATGATTTGCGAAATACAACCCTTTACTGGCACAACCTAACCACCTTTGACTCATCGCCCATGCCCCTTTGCTATGCCGTAAATAACGCAGTCAAAACAGTCGCACAATCGCTCAAAGCAACAAAATGCATTTGACAAGCTGGGGGCCAACGTTAGATCTGTACTGTCAAGCAATAATTTAGTTTTACGATGATTTCTTTTGTTTGTTTAACATACTGTAAATTTAACTACAAAGTTAACATTCAAAGGCTAGAATATTGCAATGTACAAGTATACACATTTAAGCATTAACGTGCCTCGTTATGGTTACAGTACAGTACTTCATTCCAAGCGAACAGTGCTTTCTGGGGTCTCCTACATCCTGCACAGCGTTTAAACGTAAAACAAAATAATTAGACAAAAAAACCACTCCGCAGCTTTAAAGTTCTATGCGCGCTTGCAGAGAGCGTTCTGACTTTCTTCTAAGAGCTTTGAACATTCGTTCGCGATCAGTCAACATAGTCCCACGGTTCTCTTCTGTCGAGGAAAAAGGAATGTCGCGCGTGCCTTGAGCGGAATGAGGTTAATAACAATGTCCTCGCAAGCAAAGAAGCTTCCTCGGAGGGACGGACGTTCCTCTGGCGATAATTGCGACGGGGGGTAGGTGGGGGGGCAAAACAAACAAAAAACGACGACGATGCCAGCGACGATGTCAGCGACGAAATAAAAACGAAACAGTGTTGGAAAAACCAACGTTTGCCCCCCCTCTCGACGAGTTTTTTTTTCTCCTTCCCCCAGCAAGATTTTCTTTCTTCAGCAAAAAACGTTCCTTAAATAACCGCGGCGGCGAAGGGCGTCCTCCTCGTTGGCCGTTAAAAGAGTTCCGCTCGGAGTAAAAGCGGCAACAAGGAGGGAGCGTCGCTCGTTCAGTCGTGAAGCGGAGATAGTCGGGGGGGGGGGGGTCGGGAGGGGAGTGCCGGGACGAGGGGCTGAGCGCCGCCGCCGCTGTCACACGGATCCCGCCATCGTGCGCTCCGTGCGCTGCTGGCGCGTCGCCGGCTTGTCCTTGACGCGCGCCGCCTGGGGCCCCCTCGCGACGCCCGGTCTCCTGTGCTTGTTCTTCCTCTTCTTGCCACGCCGCCCGTGGCGCGAGTTGTCTGTGGGATCGGGAGGTGGCCGGGGGTGGAGGGGGGGGGAGGGAAGCGAAAAGGTTGCGAGATGGCAACGGAGCGCGGCGGTTCGGGGCAAGGATTTACTCTTACGAGCTCTCGAGCGCCTCCTGAATTCTCGCACGGTGAAATGCGTCAACTTTCACTCACTGCGATGTTCTTCGTGGTTTAGCTCGGAGGGTGTTAACCGTGCCACACATGTGAACGTCTTTAAAAAAACAACTAAATAGCATCAGAGGGTAAAGGCTGATAGGGCACTTACACTTTGACGGTGTGCCCATGTTCTCTGGTCAGGTCTGACCACGTTTAAAAACCTACATATGTTAACATAGCCACAGTGCACTCTGTGCAATAAAACAGTGTAAGAAACTTAAACAGAGATGCATACACGAAAATGCTAACGTGCAATGTTACGGTGAAATGGAGCAATCTGGAAAGTGTTAGCTCCTAATTGTTTGCTGGGGTGGGTATGTGTAGTATTGCACGACTCATTGAAATTATGGCCTTTTCTGATCAAGAATTCTTCCAGACGATGCTTAAGTTTGACTTGTGCAGTTTTTGCAGAGCGAAAATGTGGTGCTCCTTTCTGTTCAGATTTCGAATTGGTAATTAATTGCACTGTGAGATGGCACTAGCATAAAATATTGGTCCAGAATTACGAAATAAATATTTGACATACATATACCCATGACGTAGTTGGCGTTGCGGGCTTTAAATGAACGTGTCAGACTCCACGTGAGGTATAATACTTGGTTAACAAATGATGGGGATCGTGTATTTTTAATTGTTTAGCACGGGACTTAAAGTAACATTACATTTTAAGCTGGTGCTGCCCTGTGAGTAATATTAATTTAACCTCTGAATCATAATTCTCTGAGGGCCCAAAGTATAATTTCCTCCACCCCCTTGGATATAAGCCGATATAGTTTTGCCAAATTCCATCTTTCTAGCCTTACTGCACCTTTAATTATAAGTCACACCAATCACTTAAGCCAGACATTGCATCACTGTGTACATGATGCATACATGTACTTAATTTATAATTAAAATAATCCGGATGTACAATGTTTTGGAGTTCATTGCTCTACCATGCAGGAACAATAAATCGTGTAGAAATGTTGTTTTGATTAAAGTATACACATACATACACAGGCATCACCCACGCACCAGAGTAATAGACCTGGGTCCAATAATACGAGAGGAATGTGGGAAAGAAAAATACGTTGCATTTTAAGGATTTTCTCTGCCACCAAACCTCATAACCCTGAATAAACGAGATTAAGTATAATCACATACTCTTTAGGCATTATTAACTTAGCCAAGATAACTTGTACATAGAGAACACAAGCTTTTTTACTGCTTTGGAAGAGGTAATGTTCTGTGCTTCCAATATATACAGAACATTTTTGGTAGCTCTGTTCAGTTATTCCTAGGGATAATATATTGGCGCGGGTAAGAGTTGAAAAAATAGCAGACTGAAATTTCTCAGAATTGACGAAGCAATGTTTTTGCACTCGGATTATAAACCACAGTTCATTTGAAAACATTTATTTTTCTATGTTAAATGGAATTTGATATTTACCAGTGTGCATTGAGCAGGCTTTGTCATTTTAGTGCCCTCCTTAAAATGGCTACACAGCTGTAATCCTAACAAAACTAATTTCCTCATTGTGTGACCACCCTGCTATACTTTTGGATGCTGCAGCTCAAGTGGTGAAATGCTTAGCATGGTTGACTCGCAATACAGAGGTCTCCTATGTGTTGAAATTCCTTCTGTCCACCCAGCGGCATGAGTACTCCAATAACAAAGGTTTGTTGGGTTAGATCTGGTAAATATAAATGCGTCTTTTTTTGAAATTTTCTTGCTGTGGTTTTCACACCTGATGATGATTGCTTGCGTTGCAGTCGAAACGTCGTGAGAATTGTATTGTTGAATATTTTTATTATTTTATTGTTTCCCTTCTACGTGGTGACTTTACCGAAAGAAGCAAGAATATAAATGCGTCGTTAAACCCGCCAACCACCTGACACAGCCAATTAGTAAGGGTTTTCATGTAAACAAAACCCTTTATTATGGATAATATTGGTAGCAAAATCCTACGTGTTAAACTGACTACTGCACGGTTAGACATGGGAAGGTCGGGTATGGTTAGGTACAATGTGGTTATTCCCACCTCTTCCAAGACGTACGACCCGCGAGGAGGAAGAGTAGGCCAAATTACACTCCAGAGGAGCACTCTAGAGCCGCCTCCCCTAGTGGAGGCCCGTTAGTCAGCAGCGGCGCGAGTGAGCACTTGCAGGGCTGCACTTTTACCTTCTATAATTCAGGTTTGATAGGACCACGAGGCTGGAGTCCCATGGAGCTCCGTAACAACTCAAATTGCACTGAAGCTCGATCGCACCCTCGAGTAGGACAGCGGAAGAATCACACGATGCGCTGCGTGGAACGCGACTCATCGCATTATAAGAAAAGGGTTTTTACCCTTTCTGGTAAAACCTTTTTCTTATATTTTGATATTGGCAAGGGAGGTCACATGATGCGAGTGATCACATTGTCTTTGGGTGCCCAATCCAACTCCACACACACACGAACGACCTCGACACACCACATATCCACACTCGCACGCCGATCGTCGCGAATGTCGCGATTGTGCACGCGAGCAGGGGGCCCCCCCTTTGCCGATCGACTGCCGGATGTGGGCCCCTCACAGGGCCGTGCGCGGGTCGCGACGGTTGTTTGACCATGTTTTCTTCCATGCTGGTCAGTGTTAGGCCTGGTGGAGGTGAGGACACAAAGACGCCGGGGCATGGAGGTACAGCGCAACAATGGGCTTTGTCGCACCACCCCCTGCTGCCCACCACGCCGCTACGACTCGTCTCACGACGCACGGTGGCCACACATTCACGCACTACCGAACCTGATTCCTGCTTGGCTTCTGGGGTGATTTGGTCCTAGGCAAGCCACCGTTACTCGAAGCTTGTGCAAGGAGAAGTATCAACGCTCTTTATTAATCCTGGAAAACCTCACTTTTGCAGGGGGATTCTGTCCAATTGGCACGTTTGGCCGATTGCTATCACGAGTGTTTGGCTTCATGCGGTTGAAGCCCAATGACCATGTGGGAAAAAAAACCCAGAGCGTGGTAACGCTCAAAGCCCCGCACAGATAGATGCATGAATCTGTTGTTGTACTGCCATAACCTGACCACCTCATAGTGACATTCAAAATAAATCTTTCCGAAAACGTGATAATACAGTTGCTGAAAAATGCATTATTTGGGTAGCATTTGACCAACTTTGCTGGAGGCAGCCTCGTGTAGTAGCACAGCACAACACCGCACATTTCGACCATCGCACGATTGCCCTCACCAATCAACCACCCTCACCCAGTGCAGAATGTTCTCCTGGGGCAATGATTATTGTCTCTTGACAATTTTTCGGAAAGAGCAATGTATGGCTAATCTCGCATATTATTCGCTGACTTTTCACGTCCCGGCAAAGCATTTCCCCGCATTTCAAAACGATTTGTGATTTAATTTTTGTCCCGTAACCTACTTGGCGCAGAGTCTAAACCCGTCGTGACGCGCAATAGGTGCTGTACATTATTTACACAGCTGACCTTTTCGCATGTTCGCCAACACCTCAAGTCCGCTGGTGGGGGGCCGGTGTGGGGGGGGGGGGTAGGTCATACGTGCGACAACGTACGTTTACCGAATAGAACCAAAGAGCATGGATCCTTGCAGTCACGAAAGCTTCAAATCTAGTACGCCCCTTTACAACATACCTGAACATATGCCCCATCTCTTATTGGTCCCTCCCCCGCCACGCGTACTCTTTTCACTCACCGTCGTCAGGGCAGGTCCGATGCTGCGAACGACACTTGCGCACTTCCCGGAGCGGGGGGCACAGCCCCCCGCCGCTGCTGGGGTAGCGGACGACCTGCCGCGCGTGCCACTGGCGTCCCCACTTGAACCCGCAGTGCCGCCCATTCTTGGTGCACTGGGACCACTCCCCCCACATGGAGACCTCGCAGTGCACTGCGCGGGGCAGAGGACAGCCATGGTCACGTGCTTTCTGTGCACCGAAACCCACCTCGCGTTCCGAGGATGACCGCAGGCTGCACGGTAGGGTGTCCCCGTTCACCGGCAATGTTTTTTTTTTTAAAGACATTTTACTCACCGCAGAGAACTGCGGTGACACATCCACACACTCCACGATAGCTGGCGCCAAACTGTGTCACGCGCACTCCCGCAATGGCCTTGTGGGAGCCTCGGGACATATTCTTAGCTCTTTCGGTAAAGTCACGTTGAAGGGAAACAATAAAACAATAAATGATATATAAAACAATAAAAAAAATTCTCACGACGTTTCGACCATAACACAAACGGTCATCATCAGGTGTGAAAAACCAACGGCAAGAAACATTTGAAAGAAGTGAGGCACCTGATGATGACCGTTTGTGTTATGGTCGAAACGTCGTGAGAATTTTTTTGTTTTATATATAATTGATTGTTTTATTGTTTCCCTTCAACGTGACTTTACCGAAAGAGCTAAGAATATGAATTACTGCAGTCACGAAAGCTTTAAAATCAAAAGCCTCGGTAAAGTTATTTTATTTTAATTTTTCTTCCGGTTCCGTTCCAATGATGTACACGTCCGTCATCAGAACGGGAAAGGGTTAGTCACAATTACAACAGCAATGCACTTTTTATTTACCTGGGAAAGCCTGACAATATTCTCAAGACTCTTCTCAGGAGAGTCCTGTAATTGGTATGTTTGACCAATTTTAGAGCCTATCTTTAGCAAATGTTAACACTTACCCGTAGGATCCTGTCGTGTTTTCGTGTAAGTAAACGGCCCAGTGTGTTACACGGCGCAGAGCAATAGTTACAAAGTTGAGAACAAACTGATAGTTACTGCTCTTATTCTATGACTGACCATTTGCACATGTCCAAGGTTGATATATTGCTGGTCATTTTAGTTGTTATGAACCTAAAATAAGCCTTGGAAAATAATTGTCATTAGTGGTTGTGTGAAAGGAACCCAAAGTACTGGAGAAAACGCACCAAGCAAGTGAGGGGAGAAACATTCAAAGCTCTGCACAGATAGATTTAATAATTAACTGCTGTACTGACATCCCTCGCATGGACATATATAATCCTATCTGTTCGACGTTGATTCTTCAAACAATACAATTAAAATTAATATAGCGTCCCAATGCAACCGTATCTGAAGGCACTTATAACTTGTAATCAAAAACATTCTACTTATACAAACAGGAACGTTGTTTGGAAAAGCAGCCACTTATGTTTGGGTTGAGCGAGTATTTTTTGCCGCTTAATTTCAGCATTAGACATATGCAGTGATCTCAGAAATCTTACTCGGTTGATGACGATGGCTTTAGAATTAACCGCTTGGCACCCACTTAACAGAGTTCCGATGGCAAAGCTCCACTCGGGAATTGTCGTCCTTCTTACACGCCCAACGTCCCATCGTCACGTGGCGAGTGGCTGCTCAGATGTTTCTCTCTCCGTGCGATTCTATTCTGTGCCACTTCTCTCATTCACATCCACTTTCCTCGTTATCCCACTCCAGCGCATCATCCCATCTCACCCTTGACTGTCCCTCTCTACCCCTTCTGCCCTGAACTGGCGTTCAATCTACGTAGCCCTTGTGTGGGAATATCCTCCAGCGTAACTCGCCGATCGGCACGCACTGCACGGTGTGTGGGTAACTGTCGCGTGACTCACCAATTGGTGTGTGGGTAACTGGCACGTGACTCACCAATTGGTGTGTGGGTAACTGGCACGTGACTCACCAACTGGTGTGTGGGTAACTGACACGTGACTCACCATTTGGTGTGTGGGTAACTCGCGCGTGACTCACAATTTGGTGTGTGGGTAACTGGCACGTGACTCATAATTTGGTGTGTGGGTAATTCGCACGTGACTCACCATTTGGTGTGTGGGTAACTGGCACGTGACTCACCATTTGGTGTGTGAGTAACTCGCGCGTAACTCATAATTTGGTGTGTGGGTAACTGGCACGTGACTCATAATTTGGTGTGTGGGTAACTCGCACGTGACTCACCATTTGGTGTGTGGGTAACTGGCACGTGACTCACCATTTGGTGTGTGGGTAACTGGCACGTGACTCGTAATTTTGGTGTGTGGGTAACTCGCGTGTGACTCAACATTTGGTGTGTGGGTAACTGGCACGTGACTCACCAATTGGTGTGTGGGTAACTGGCACGTGACTCACCAATTGGTGTGTGGATAACTGGCACGTGACTCACCAATTGGTGTGTGGGTAACTGGCACGTGACTCACCAATTAGTGTGTGGGTAACTGGCACGTGACTTACCATTTGGTGTGTGGGTAACTGGCACGTGACTCACCATTTGGTGTGTGGGTAACTGGCACGTGACTCACCAATTGGTGTGTGGGTAACTGGCACGTGACTCACCATTTAGTGTGTGGGTAACTGGCACGTGACTTACCATTTGGTGTGTGGGTAACTCGCGCATGACTCACCAATTGGTGTGTGGGTAACTGGCACGTGACTCACCATTTGGTGTGGGTAACTCGCGCGTGACTCATAATTTTGTGTGTGGGTAACTGGCACGTGACTCACCATTTGGTGTGTGGGTAACTGGCACGTGACTCACCATTCGGTGTGTGGGTAATTGACACATGACTCATCATTTGGTGTGTGGGTAACTGGTGCGTGATTCACCAATTGGTGTGTGGGTAACTGGCACGTGACTCCCCGATTGGTGTGTGGGTAACTGGCACGTGATTCACCAATTGGTGTGTGGGTAACTAACACGTGACTCACCAATTGGTGTGTGGGTAACTGGCACGTGACTCACCGATTGGTGTGTGGGTAACTGGCACGTGACTCACCATTTGGTGTGTGGGTAATTGACACATGACTCACCATTTGGTGTGTGGGTAACTGGCGCATAATTCACCAATTGGTGTGTGGGTAACTGGCATGTGACTCACCAATTGGTGTGTCGGTAACTCGCGCATGACTCACCAATTGGTGTGTGGGTAACTGGCACGTGACTCACCGATTGGTGTGTGGGTAACTGGCACGTGATTCACCAATTGGCGTGTGGCTAACTGGCACGTGACTCACCGATTGGTGTGTGGGTAACTGGCACGTGACTCACCGATTGGCACGCACTCCATTGTGTGGTTGGTGGGGGAGAAGCCGTCTGGACACGACTCGTAGCAGTCCCCCTTGTAGAGGTACGAGCCGGGGAGGCAACGCGTGCAGAAGTTCTTGCTGAAGCACGTGTCGCAGCGCTCGATCTTGCATTCTGGGATGAGGAAGCGGCGAGAAGAGCGTTCGCACCCGAGTTACTTTCCCACGGGCGAAATTAAGGAGTCTGTATTTGTCAATGAAAGAGCAAATGGGAAAATGCTTTTCGATTTAAAGCTTTCGTGACTGCACGGATTCATCTTCTTTGGTTCTTTCGATAAAGCCACGTAGAATGAGAATAAAATAATAAAATAAAATAACACAATAAAATTCTCACGACGTTTATGTGGATGTGTAGGCTTTGACTTTAACATCTATTTCTGTGACCAGTCACAAGCTAATCCCTCAGCTATTTCAATGCTAAATTATCCTGTTTGATTTGTACTAGGTGCCTCTGTGGATGTGTAGGCTTTGACTTTAACATAGCTATTTCTGTGACCAGTCACAAGCTAATCACTCAGCTATTTCAATGTTAAATTATCCTGTTTGATTTGTACTAGGTGCCTCTGTGGATGTGTAGGCTTTGACTTTAACATAGTTACTTCTGTGACCAGTCACAAGCTAATCCCTCAGCTCTTTCAATGTTAAATTATCCTGTTTGATTTGTACTAGGTGCTTCTGTAGATGTGTAGGCTTTGACTTTAACATAGCCATTTCTGTGACCAGTCACAAGCTAATCCCTCAGCTATTTCAATGTTAAATTCTCCTGTTTGATTTGTACTAGGTGCCTCTGTGGATGTGTAGGCTTTGACTTTAACATAGCCATTTCTGTGACCAGTCACAAGCTAATCCCTCAGCTATGTCAATGCTAAATTCTCCTGTTTGATTTGTACTAGGTGCCTCTGTGGATGTGTAGGCTTTGACTTTAACATAGCCATTTCTGTGACCAGTCACAAGCTAATCCCTCAGCTATGTCAATGCTAAATTCTCCTGTTTGATATGTAAACCCCTTTGTCAAGGTGCCTCACTTATCTCAACCAGCTTAAAAGACGCTACGAATCTTAACAACGTTCATTGAAGCTCTGTCGTCCCAACAGGTTTGTTCATTTCACCTGAAGAAGGCCACTTGTGTTGTGGCCGAAACGTCGTGAGAATTTGATTGTGTTATTTTATTATATTATTTTATTCTCATTCTACGTGACTTTACCGAAAGAACCAAAGAAGAGGAAAATGCTTTGTGAGTGAATTCAAATTTCTTTTAAAAAGATCATATATCTAGAAAACGTCACTGAGCATTCGAAATCTTTGGAAAAAAAATGTGTATTAAGGTGCCAGTTGCTGATGATGGTGGAGATGGATGTGCTGATGATAATGGTATTGATAGTGTTGATGCAATGCTGAAGATGATGGTGATACCAATAATGATGCTGCTGATGATGGTAGGACTGCTGTTCATGTTCATAACAGCGACATTGATGGTGATGTGTTCAGGTAGGGGTGGACCGACTTGCACACTCCTTCACGTGGGTGACACATGATGCTGCTGAAAATATTGCTGATGATCATGATGATGATGACGATTATGACGGTAGTGGTGGTACTAATCATCATATTGCTGTTGTTGATGATTATGTTATTTATAATGCTGATAATCTTGCTGCTGCCTATGACAATCGCAATCACAATGATTATACAATTTCTCAATACGGTTGTGAGCTGAAACGATAACGGCGCGAGAGAGGCTTGCGAGGGCGGGACAATTTAATTTTGTCGCGGTCGTGTGGAGGCTTTCCCGACAAAATAATTGGCCAAATCACGACACAGCCTCGCCCAAAAAATTCTATGAAGGATTGATGCCGACTGTGCTTAAGGTGCTGGCGGTAATGCTGCTTTCGCTGCCCATACACATCATGACATTTATTTCCTCGTGCTGGAGTTTCTTGTCCTTCCCCCGTACGGTGCGAAAGAAGTGTCGACATTATGACACACAAAACAACGGCGGACCTACTTGCACATTTGTTCATGTGCGTGGCGCGCAGGCCGTAGTATCCCGAGGGGCACATGTGCAGGCAGGCTCCCAGCTGCCGCATGCCTGCCCGCTGCAGGTGGAAGAAGAAGCGAGGCATGCAGCTGAGGCAGCCGTTGGCATCCGAGCACCCGGAGCATCCGCGCGGGCACAGCGCACTGCTTGCACCCACTGCCAGCCGGGGGGGGGGGGTGGTGAGACACGGGGGGGGGGGTGAGACACGGGGGGGGGGGGGAGACAGGGGGGGGGGTCATTGTGAGAGTGAGGAGGGAGTATCTGGAGGATAGAGCACGGAGGCATCGTGAGAGGTGGCACAATGAGCGCAGAGGGACGGGCGCGAGCGAGGAGAGGAGGGGAGTGGTGGGAGGAGATGATGGTGAGGATGGTGAGGATGGTGGGAGGAGGACATGATGGTGAGAGTGGTGGGAGGAGATGATGGTGAGGATGGTGAGGATGGTGGGAGGAGGACATGATGGTGAGAGTGGTGGGAGGAGATGATGGTGAGGATGGTGAGAGTAGTGGGAGGAGATGATGGTGAGGATGGTGAGAGTAGTGGCAGGAGGACATGATGGTGAGGATGGTGAGGATGGTGAGAGTAGTGGCAGGAGGACATGATGGTGAGGATGGTGAGAGTGGTGGCACTAGGAGATGATGGTGAAGATGGTGAGAGTGGTGGGAGGAGGAGATGATGGTGAGGATGGTGAGGATGGTGGAACGAGGAGATGATGGTGAGGATGGTGAGGATGGTGGCAGGAGGAGGATAGAGGGAAGAATAAGGGAGGGGCGGGATGGCATGGGAGAAGGGGAAAACGAAGGTTAGCAGAGGGAGGGAGTGAAGGTGAGGGACTTACCAAATAGAAAGGAGAAAATATTCCACATTTCATGGAGAACAACAGGTTAAGATTACATTTGGAGAGGAATAATGAAGTGCAGATTGGGGGCAGAGCCATGATCTATCCACTGCTAGATTAAGGCTTCCCCAAGTTGTCGCACATCCTTTACAATTCTTAGGATGCAACAATCCGTCCAGCTCCTGCACTTGACGCTGATCTCACCCCTCCATCTCTGTGGCTGTCGCCCTCTCTGATCTCATCCCTCCTTCGGCTGCCACTGCGTCACCGGTCTTGACCATCGGTCAGCATCCCGTACAGTCAGAGGTTGTCTGCCTAAGCCCACTTGTGTTCGCACTCAGTACGACGTCTGTGAGTGGCGTCTCCTCTCGGAGCCACGCACACCTCTCTTTCTCTCTCTGAGTCAATTCGAGCATGCGGCAATGCCACATTTCTCTGTGCATCCAATCTCCCCTTACTGCGTTTTCTTCGTCAATCTCCGTGTTTCCGACACATCTGGAAGCTGACAAAGAAAACTGACAAAAATAGCAGCGTATAAATAGTTTTCTCGAGCCTAATTCAATTGTACCGAATTTCATTTATTAGACATTCATTCCGACTTGCATTCCAATACACGTGAGACTTACAGTCGGCTTTGAAATCACTTGGGCTGCTTGGATAGGCTTAAATTGGGCATCTGCGTCAGCTGTAAGTTGAGCTTTTGCATTTCCCCCATACATCATCTTCTATTATATCCAGCAGACTGTAAGACTCAACTGTTAAACGATTCCTACAGCCGGCTGCGATGTTGTGCATTGCCTGGGGTTCAGTGGCAGGGAGACCTCTGTCAGTAATGAAACGCACCTGGCTGGTGAGCTTTAATCCAGGAGAGAGAGAGAAACTCGAAGGTGGCGACTTCCCGAACGGACGTCATGCACTCGCTGGAGTGCAGACTCAAGTGCAGCATTCCACGTGCACGAACAGTCTACTCGAATCGCCCTCTTGTCAATCCACTGCTGGATGGGGTCCTCCCCACACCGCGCGGGTGGTGGGGGCTGTTTGCAAATGCTTCACCACGCCGGGCAGTGCAATTTGGGGACCAAAGGCGTATAGCACAACCAGTAGTGTTGCTGCACTGCCCCCTGCTGCCAAAACACTAAGCTCCGCTGCCCGACGGAAACTTGTGTTGCGCACGTGGTCGCCCATCCAAGGGGTGTTCAGGCTCAAAACCCCGCTTAGCTTGCGAGGTCTAATTAGACTCTGCGCGTTCCGGGTGAATTGGTCCCCGGGCGCATTTTTTAAGCCCCACAGTGATGAACCCGTTGCACGTTCAAGTGTCGTCGCGGGCATAGCATTAAACTGCATCCAATGAAAGTGCCCTCAAAAGTAACGCTGTTGAGAGAGCCAAGGGGAAACCATCTCAATTGGCCCTAGTTACGGCTCAAAACCCCAAGTAAACGGCAACGAAATAATTGAGCGGGCAATAAGCCTCCTTCTCCAAATCTCTTCCTCCGCATGACAAAATAAAGGTATTTATTACACATTCCATCAGCCACGCCACGGCCTTCTGCGAGTCCATCATTTCAGCAGCATTTGGTTCAGCACAAGCAAACTCTGGAGCGGTTCCGACATTGATCGTCTCATCGGTAGAGTCAGGCTCGCTTGAATCAACGCCGGTGAGCTGCCGAATGTTTAGAGGCAAGGTCCCGCTCCGTTAGATATGGGTCCCAGTTGACCTTTGTCGAGTAATGGAGGGAGCGCGGTGTTGCGAGGGGCTGAGTGGGGAGAAGGTTCAGATTGGATGAGGACAGCTTGGGCCATGGGCCTGCACTTGGGGCAGAGAACTCGCGGGACAGGACGTTCAATGTGGTGGTATCGACGGAGATGAATGTTCATGTACAATTACCCTGATTCAGTTGTATAACTACTCCGATGTATAATTACTCTGAAACGTTGTGAGAACAGCAGCCAAAAAGGTTGTTCTTGTGTTTTATAAACTAGAACTAAACTAAAATTTGTATTTGACAGGTAAGGCCCACTGAGCCATATAGCTCTTTTTCAGAAGCGACTATGATAGCTCAACGAAGGGGCTCACCACGTGGAAATTTATAGCAGCCAAATACGCTAAATGCACGTTTGTAAATGTGGAGGGGAAAACCAGAGGACCTGGAGAAAAATCCACGTGACCACAGGGAAAACATGTAAACTCCAAATATACAGGCATCAGGGTCAGGATCAAACCCACAACCTCCTGCATACATGGCGAGGCAATAAACATCTCGTCACCGCTGCTGTGCCGATTCTATCTAAAGGCGTAGGGTCAATGTGAAATGTAACTCTGCATCTAAGAACCCATTGTATGACATATAGCTGGCAAGATTGTACATATTGAAAAACTGTTTTAAAATATACATAAGGGACTTCACTGGCACAAATTCACCACATTCATCATTAACATAATTATGCGGTTTTCTGTTATAAAGCAGTGTTAATTACACACTCGATAATTTTAGTTTTTGTGTTTGGCAAGAAACGTATGAGTATGTATTGACAATTTTCTATATAGAGAAATACAGGTTTTACTCTTAAAGTGTTTTGGGAATGAATTAATATGGAGACTTGATTGCTATATGATAATGAACAATACAACTTTAGATCCCTTTGTCCATCTACTGCTGGATGAAGGCCTCATCATGTCATGTCAGTCGTAGGGTTTGATTGACCATACTTCACCACACTGTGCAGTGTGAGTTGGTGAAGGGGTGGCCAATATTGTTTCAGACATCGCGCATCACTGATGTTAGCCGTGGCCACATAAATCGAACTCATGTCACCAGGTTCAGAGCACAGTGTGCTCACCATTGTACCACTACTCCACCCACGTAAAAAAATATACGGGCTACAATATGAAAATCTGATTATTAATTTAGACTGCAGGAGTCCGATAAGCTATAAAGCTCTTTTCACAGATGTCCAGTAGGTACGTGTACATGTACACCGCCTTTTCTTCAACTCACTTGCGTGCGAGAGCCTCTCCGAACCACGCGGGTCGCCGGGGTTATTTGACCATACTTCACCGCGCCGGTCAGTGTGAATTGCCGAAGGCGCCTTACGTAGACGTGGGGGGGGGGGGGGGGGGGAGCGTCGCGCGAGCAACAGATGTTGCTGCGTTGCCCTCTGCTGCCTACATAGGGATCCCCGCAGCCGCCGATGGCGAGCTTCCTTGTGCGTGGTGGTCACCCGTCCAAGCACTATCCGGGCTCAACCCTGTCTAGCTTAGCTTCCGAGATCTGATGATGACATTTGGCACATCGCAGGTGGTGATCCGATCATGGGTATGTTTGCGTGTACATTGCGCTATTCAATGTATCCACTACATGCCTGCTCACTTAGCTTCTCTCTGCATCCACGGCTCAAGGGAAATAAATCCGCGAGAAACGTTTGCCCAATCATTATTGTAATTTTCATCAAAAGTTTCTTGCAGTGCTCAGAATTTCTGCTGTCCCTGCATTTCATCACCAATAATACAAGCAACACGTCTCCGTGTGTGCTACAATTGCGTTTTATACATATGTATCTGGCTTATCCCTTGCTTTCGATATATAAGAGTGTTCGGCTGTTGTTGGCTTCAATTGTGTTTTGTTTATATTTTTTCTCACACACGAGAGACGAGTCTGACCCTAGACTTACAAACACGGCTACGCTTCTCTCGAGTGAAGGGAGGCTATAAAGCACCACCAGCCTCACGATCCGTTCTCTCCTGCAGAGAGAGGGAACCTCACGCGCCACAGCATTACGGCAGAGGTCTCTCCGTTATTGGGCCTCTGTCCAGAGGTTGCCTTTTACACGCGCACGCACGCACGGATCCACACTGTCGGGAAAAAAAAACGAATACTTTTCACCAAACAACACGCACAGGCCAAGTCTGTACCGGCAAGAATGTTTTTTTTTTTGGGGGGGGGGGGGGGGGTCTTGGGTCTATAAAGGTGCGTGTTATGGATGACGCCTGTCAGAGCGCAAGCCGTGCGCGATGGCGTGATTAATGGCCGGTGGAAGGCGACTTGGGATCAGCTGAAGTTTCAGTGGGAAAGCGCTGCTTTCGTGAGCGACACGTGACACCGATCGACTAAGCTGAGGTTACGACGGACGGCCGTGCATTTTAAAGCGAACCCACGCATTCCGTGTCGGCATATCCCATGGTATGCAGCCTCCCCGCACGTGTCCAATGTCACGTGCGTGTGCACATACATCTGCGCGTGTGCGTACGTCTCATTTTTTTGTATGGGTGGCACGGCGGTCATCGCAACGCGAGTACGAACCCGGCAACTTGATTTCGTTGCC